TGCAGCACGGGCGAGAATGCTGCAACACCGCACGAGATTGAATGTGGAGCGATACAGACAAGCGCGGAACAGACAAAACTCGGTTTTCCGAAGGAAGAAGCGTCAACAAGAAGACCGAGATCGCGAGGCGATGGAAAATCTGTACCGCGTAAACGACACACGGAAGTTCTACGAGAAGCTAAATAGTTCGCGCAAAGGCTACGTGCCGCAAGCCGATATGTGCAAGGACTTGGACGGTAACCTTCTCACGAACGAGTGTGAGGTGATTGAGAGGTGGAAGCAGTACTATGACGAGCACCTCAACGGTGAAGCAGCAGAAAACGAAGGTGGCACGGCAACAGACCTTGGAGCACGCGCAGAAGACGACAGGCTACCGGCCCCTGATCTTCAAGAAGTTGAGGAGGAGATCGGTCGGCTGAAGAACAACAAAGCAACTGGTGTAGATCAACTACCAAGTGAGCTATTGAAATACGGTGGTGAAGCACTGGCTAGAGCGCTGCACTGGGTAATTGCCAAGATTTGGGAGGAGGAGATATTACCGGAGGAGTGGATGGAAGGTGTCGTATGCCCAATCTACAAAAAGGGCGACAAGTTGGATTGCTGCAACTACCGCGCGATCACACTGCTGAGCGCCGCCTACAAGGTACTCTCCCAAATTCTATGCCGCCGTCTGTCACCATTTGCAAGAGAGTTCGTGGGGCAATACCAGGCGGGATTCATGGGTGCCCGCGCTACCACGGACCAAATTTTCGCGATTCGGCAGGTTCTGCAGAAATGCCGCGAATACAACGTGCCCACACATCATTTGTTCATCGATTTCAAATCCGCATACGACACAATCGATCGAGATCAGCTATGGCAGATTATGCACGAGTACGGATTTCCGGATAAACTGATGCGATTGGTCAAGGCGACGATGGATCGAGTGATGTGCGTTGTTCGAGTATCGGGGACACTCTCGAGTCCCTTTGAATCTCGAAGGGGGTTACGGCAGAGTGATGGCTGTGTCTGCTGTTCAACATCGCGTTACAAGGTGTGATCAGAAGAGCTGGGATAGATACGAGTGGCACGATATTCAGGAAGTCCATCCAGCTCCTTGGTTTCGCCGATGACATTGACATTATGGCACGGAACTTTGAGATGATGGCGGAAACGTACATCAGACTGAAGGCTGAAGCTAGACGGATTGGACTTGCCATCAACGCATCAAAGACAAAATACATGAAAGCAAGAGGTTCTAGGGAAGACAATGTTAGCCTCCCACCCCGAGTTCAGATTGACGGTGACGAAATCGAGGTGGTCGATGAGTTCGTGTATTTGGGCTCACTGGTGACCGCCGAAAATGATACCAGCAGAGAAATTCAAAGACGCATTATGGCAGGGAATCGTGCCTACTTTGGACTCCGGAGGACGCTCCGGTCGAATAAAATTCGCCGCCGCACGAAGTTGACTGTCTACAAGACGCTGATTAGACCGGTGGTCCTTTACGGCCACGAGACCTGGACTATGCTCGTGGAGGACCAACGCGCTCTTGGTGTTTTCGAACGGAAGGTGTTGCGTACCATCTACGGTGGAGTGCAGATAGATGACGGAACGTGGAGGAGGCGAATGAACCACGAATTGCACCAGCTGCTGGGAGAACCATCCATCGTCCACATTGCAAAAATTGGGCGACTACGGTGGGCTGGGCACGTCGTAAGAATGCCGCACGACGACCCAGTGAAAATTGTTCTAGAAAGCGACCCAACAGGAACAAGAAGAAGAGGCGCGCAGCGGGCAAGGTGGATCGACCAAGTAGAAGGTGACCTGCGGACCCTTCGCAGACTACGAGGTTGGCGAACTGTGGCCATGGATCGAGTAGAGTGGAGACGACTTCTTCGGACAGCAGAGGACAACAAGGCCTTAGCCTGATTGGTAAGGTAAGTAATAGGCACTGACATTGGGTGCGATACTTGCGGGTTTGTCGCAAATCACTCTTATTTTATTTATTTTACGCAGATCGATTTATTTGGGTTTGCAAGGGAATTATACTATTGAAATATTTCAGAAAGTGCCCAACGGTGCTCCTTCCAGTGTTGGAAAAGTTCGCAATATTTCACGAAGTTCACCAAGGGAAAAGTTTGCGAGTCATAGAGTGTTTTTGTGAACTTTTCCATCACTGGCTCCTTCTATTTGCGTGATAAGCTTTCATTGTTGTTTTCATTGAGGTTTTACTCAGGGAACAATGTTAAACATTATTATTGTACATGGTATTGTAACTAATCTTATAAGGGAAGTGGATGTAATGTCGGCCTAAACGCCCCTAATTTGGGCCCATGCATAAGTTCAGCAATTGACTACATTTTCAATAGCGACCAAAAATATCCCTTAGTACCGTCCCAATGATACGTTCATCTAGATAAAATTGATAAATAGCAGATTTTTAGCGATGGGCCCAATCTTAGATCCATAGGCCAACATTAGAGCCATTTCTCCAAGTGCTTCATTTTAATTTGGGATAAATGTTTGAACTTTAGCTCTGGATTTCCACTGGCGTGCTTCTAATGTAACATACCCATACGTATTTTCGTGGTGCCACTATGCCGGAAGCGTGGGAGCATATACCCTTTATAATTTAAAAATCAGCTAGGAAACTAACTTCAACGTGAAACATTTTAGTAACTTGAAGGGGTCACCTGCGACGAACTAAGATACAATAAATATAGGTCAAAGTCAAAAGCACTTGAAACACGTTAAATTTTAGATTACAAGCACAAATAAAGCATGGATTTTGATTGAATAGGTAGATTAGAGTTTTCATATATTCATTAAAATTGGCTAATGAGATATCATAATCATCAAATGAACATAAATAAAAAAAACGGACAGTCTAATAACATTAAGTAGATTAACAAAAGAGTAAGAATGCAGGGGGTCCGCTGAGGGAGGCAACAAGTTGTTTAATAAATCTTCCTATTTAGTATATTTGTTAATTACAGGCAATGTCAACAGTGAACGCCATATTTGATCACGCTCTTACGAATAAGTGAGGTTTTGGAAAGGATATATTTGAGGTGAGAATTAGGACTGTTGTGCTTCAGTATGTTTTCGGTAAGGTAAGATATGTAAACCATATCATACCGGTGGTGTAGTGGTAAGCGTGATTACCCCAAGTCTGCGCCGCCGGGATGTTCTGAGGCATAACATCTCTGATCACGCCTTCCGTGTTGGTCCCCGGTTCATGAGTTGATGGGTCGATAAGTAGGGTCCAGGTGCGAGAGCTGCCACCCTGGCGTCGGTAGCATTGGTACTCAGCACGGAAAACAAGATCGACGGAAAAAAAAATCTTTACCTGTACCCTTGTACAGCATGGACAATGATGTTTCACTGGAGAACTGGCCCTATGACCTCCTTCTGTGCTTTAAAATGAAAATGAAATGAAACTCCATTAAAATAGAGATCCTCTGAATTTCCAAGCGATTCTCCGCAGAGCTGCCTTTGAATTTTCCTTAGTGTTCCGTTGGAATTATCCCTAGATTAGGCTTTTAAATAGTCTAAGTAAATAAAATTGTAAAAAATGCATCAACATGATAGAGGCTTGATTATTTCCCAAGTTCACGAGGAACGATAATTATTATTTTCATCAAACCTAGAATCTTGAGATTTATTTAATGTCTAATATATTTAATGTTTAATCATATTGCCTGGTGTTCGAACCTACACTAGCCAATAACACCAGCAAAATCAGTGTTAAACCTTTTCAAACTTGTATCCGTGCTCGTTCCCTCTACCCGCAGCTCACTCGAATCCGATGTTTATACTGATGATGACGACAACACCGATGATGATGGTGATGATGTTGCTGGAAATTTTAATTGTAATTTAATTCATGAATAACATTTCACCGAAGCGTTCACTCGTCGTCATCGTAGTTGTACAACATTGTTGTATAGTTTGCACCACACCATGCACTGGAAAACCACTCTTGGCTCCCGGTGTGCGCTGCCATGTTGCACTTGGTTCAGAAATATAGACACAGATGAGCTTTTACAGATTGAAAGTTTTCCCATCCCAATGCACCACCAGCACCGTGCCTGCCATTGTACCTTTTGGTACAAGCCAGAAGCCGAAAGTGGCTTTTTAACTTAGTCGTTGTTCCGATCCAATCTCAACTCACATTCACCCTGCCCTGGTTCTGTGGAGGTGCCAAAACTGGGAAGCAACCGAGCTGAACATGCAAACCAAAAGACTGTTGGACAAAGGAGGAAATTAGTTTTCTTGTGTTTGCTTCCCGTTCCTACGGTTTTTGAATAAGCTTTTTCTTTTCTGGTGTTTCGCGCAGAGAGGCAGACGGTATATCCGGAAGAAGGATGTTGAAATGGGTTTAAATTTGTTACTGTCGATCGGGAAGCTATGAACCACAAGTTGCATGACTACAGCAAACGCAAAGCAAGACAGAACTTTGCGATTTACATCGATATGCATCCGATTAACTTCATCGTCACCAACTTTGCAGCGAAATAGGAAAAAAAAAAACCTTTCAATTCATTATTCTCTAGGAACCCGTAACCGTACAAACTTAAGCTGTATCCATTAAATTGTCACTTTATGTTGTTCTTTCCCGAAGCTCTTCCCACGGCGTAGTTGTACCTCTTTCCAAACTTGCATCAAAACTTTCCCATCTGGGGTGCCCTGGTCCTTCCTGGCAGCCCAACAAATTCGCTTCATGCACTGTTCGCTATTCGCTATTGGCAGCAGCTGAGAAAATGTTTTCCTTTCCGGATCACTGGCTCGAAGGTGAATGGGAGGGGAGACAGCCATAGTACGACACACTCTTCGCAATAACCTCCCGCGACACTATCTCCTACTCGTATGAAGACATTAAATGTAATGTATTTAACTTTTCTTTTATTACACTTTTCCCATCGGTCGGTATCGTTCGCAAATCGAACAGTTCCGCGTGCGATGTCAGAGCAGGATTCGACGAAGGTTTCAATGTTGTTTTTTGTTCTTCGTTTCAGAGCACAAACAGTTGTACAACATTTCCAAGGAGCTTCTGCTGGCTGTGAGAGTATTGACGGAGAGTCGGAACGATGCTCAAAAGTCAACCGAAAAATGCAAGCGCTGTGAAATGGTGAGTTTTTAGAAATGTATTCGGCAAGTAATTTCGATCAAAAAAAACCCCCCAACCCCTAAGCGATCGGAAAATCGATATCAACGGAACCACCTTTCCGCGTACCAAATCCTTCCCGGCTCCCGCTGGATAAGCCTTTACACCGGGGCATAATTTATTCAACACCCTTTCGGCTAATGATTGACAGCTTGGCGGTTTTCCATATGTTGGCTTCTGCCACCACCACCAACCGATGAAAACAATCGAGGTTGTTACAGACGATGAGGACGGCTTCACGGTCGATGGCAGTTTGCTCATAAATCCAAAGACCTTTGCCAATATTACGCCAACATGCGCACATGTAGGTCGTCCTAGTCGTGGCCGTACACCCACACTGCCACGACCACCGGCGATGGTGTGTGGTGGTGGCGCCCACCTGACTGCTTGTTGGTTCAGTTCGAGTAGGGAGAAGGAAGGGCCCGGCCAGGTGGAACCATAAGTCATAAATCCTGAAACAAATTTGCTTCCAAATACCATTTTTCCCCGTTTTCCTGGATCTGTTGATGCCGGAGTCCTATTGGCGGTGCGGGTGTGCATGTGGAACGGTGTTCGCATTTTCGTGGAAGAATGGTGGGAGGAACACATCAGAAGCCTGCTTCCTTCCTACGACATGATTGCAGAACCATAGTGAAACATCAATCAATATCGGTTTTCCATAAGCAAGCCGAGAGTAAGAGCGAGAGAGAGAACAACTGCCTTCTTGTCGGTTGAGCTTTCGAGTAAGTCGGTCCAGATGGTGCCAGGATATATTTACGGGCTGATGTACATATTCAATAATACAGCAGATGTGCGTAGTGTGCTGCGAAAAGTTGTGCCTGTTCTGAGTGAAACAGTAATTATATCGCAATTTGTTCACCACTTGTGGTCTCTGACAACATTAACAAGTGCTCAGAATGAAATTCCAATCAACATTAAAACTCCATTCGTCTCAAACATTGCCGAATCATCTTCATCTTTCTTCGCTATTTGCTTTTACCGACCTGGCTGGCTAATGGCAGCCTTACTTTTGCTCAATAAAACAGATGAAATTATCCTTAATAAGTAAAAAAAATCTCCTTAAAATAGATCGGGTTGCTCCTTAAATGATTGATCAAAATACATTAAAAATCTTAAAATGCTCAGTAAATATTTAAAGTACGCTCCCTAAAATAGAGAAAATTGTACATTAAGCATTTGAAAATGCTCCTTAGTATGCACCGCTTTGCACCATTTTGAAGTATAATTGTACCATATATCATCGGAAAAGCTGCTGTAGAAAGGTTAATAAGTACCATGAAATCAGATGAAATGTTCAGTAAATCATTTTGTGCATTTGTGCATTTTTACTGGAGATTTTTTTTACTTATTAAGGAACATCGTCATTGCTTAATGATTCATTTACCTTTTTACCCTGGCTAATTGACTGGATGGATGATACCAAACTAGATGCTGACCAAGCGGCATATAGGGTTGATGTCCCTAGGTGTCTCTTATTTTGGGTCCATGCAGTGGTGCAGCCAGAATTTTCGTTTGGTATTTAGTGGGGGGCCGTGATTGGAATAAAAATGAAATTATTGAAACACCAGTGACATCATGGAAAATAATTCCCACTAATTTAAAAAAAAAATCATGTTTTCCAATTCTAGGGAAGTCAGGCTGATATCATAGACCACACCGATCAGGAAACCATTGCACAGTGGGAAAAAATCGACATAAAAGGAGCAAAATTCATTATATCTGATCAGCGCTGATTTAACCTTTGTAAATATAATCATTCTTATGGGGCAAAGTCTCAGAAATCCAGTGGAAATAGTTTCGTCCTGTGCAGAATAAGGAAAATTGGAATTTTTGGAGCATTTTACTCAAATTTCTTAAAATTTTGTATAAATGACTTAAAAAATACCTCATTCTGGTTCTTTTTTTGACGTAGGACTACGTCTTTGATTTCTATATGGGGGTACACTTTGTGAAAACCGAAAATGGAACATGTAACAAATTAAGAAAGATTTTGAACGTTAATAACTCAGCTGCCCCTGGTCCAATTTCAATCATTTTATCACCAATCGTTCAGAAATATGGCTACGCATCGATACAAATGCTTTCGAATGTTGATTTTCAAAAAGAAACTATTGAAAAACTGGTAAATTTCCAGCATTGTTCAAAAGCGTCGAATCAACTAACAAATCCACCACACATCACCACACACCACACACCACACACCACACATCCACATGCATATGCTGCTTCCCCAGCACAGTCGTCAGAGAGTAGTAAGTAGACGAAACAAGTCGAAGTGGCATTCGCCTTCGATCCTCGGGCGCGTGCGAATGGGGAGGATGGAATTGCGTAATATTTTGCACACTCATCGCCATACTCAGAACCACACGCTCCCAACGACCACACCACTGTGTGGTGGTGTTCGGTCGTCGAAATTAGTAGCAGCAGTAGCAGTGCTTTCGGCGTGTGGCGTTGAAAATTGTTCTCCAGTAACAACGAAAGGCGGCCTGCAAGCAGCGAGCTGCAGAGCCCACATAAGCAACCATCAAAGGAGGAAGAAGCTGCACCGCTATGCTATGGATCGGAATCAGTAGCTCTTCGTGAGTCGCTGCGGGTCGGTCATCTAAAGGGTGATACGGTCAAAATTTGGTCAAGGGAAAACGCGTGTAAATCGGTGAAATCGTTTATTTAAAAAATCAAATTAAATTTCTTTTTCAAGTTCAATTAGTACAAAATTCAGGAAAAATATTCAGTTAGGCTTCCGCTTTTCCAAATCCGAATTGCCGGGCCTTACGCTTGACCCCTGCCATCAGATTTTGTACAGCCACCTTGTCCACCTTCTTCGCCGCAGAAAGCCAGTTTGCCTTGAACTGCTGCTCGCCCTTAGCAGTTTTTTTGGTCTTCTTTAGGTTCCGCTTGACAATAGCCCAGTATTTCTCAATTGGGCGGAGCTCTGGCGTGTTGGGAGGGTTCTTGTCCTTGGGAACCACCTGCACGTTGTTGGCGGCATACCACTCCATGGCCTTTTTACCGTAATGGCAAGATGCCAAATCCGGCCAAAACAGTACGGAACAACCGTGTTTCTTCAGGAAAGGCAGCAGACGTTTATTCAAACACTCTTTCACGTAAATTTCTTGGTTGACAGTCCCGGAAGCTATGAAAACGCTGCTTTTCAAGCCACAGGTACAGATGGCTTGCCAAAACAGATATTTCTTTGCGAACTTTGACAGTTTCATGTGCTTGAAAACATCTGCTACCTTTCCCCTTCCTTTTGCCGTATAAAACTCCTGTCCCGGAAGCTGCTTGTAGTCGGCTTTGACGTAGGTTTCGTCGTCCATTACCACGCAGTCAAACTTCGTCAGCATCGTCGTGTACAGCCTCCGGGATCGCGCTTTGGCCGTCGTATTTTGTTTATCATCGCGATTTGGAGTCACTACCTTCTTGTAAGTCGATAGTCCGGCTCGTTTTTTGGCTCGATGCACGGTTGTAGACGATACACCCAGCTTATTTGCGGCATCTCGGAGAGAGAGGTTAGGGTTTCGCTTGAAACTACCGGCAACTCTCTTTGTCGTCTCAGCGGCTTCCGGTTTTCGATTTCCCCCCGATCCAGACTTCCTGGCTGTCGACAAACGTTCCCCAAACACTTTAATTACATTTGTAACGGTTGATTTGGCAACTTTTAGCGATTTTGCCAACTTTGCGTGCGAGTAGCTCGGATTTTCGCGATGCGCGAGCAAAATTTTGATACGCTGCTCTTCTTGCTTGGACGGCATTTTGACAACTGAAGAGTGAATTCCAAAATCAAAATAGGAGCAACATTCTACACACACACACCTTCAAAATGAGGGGTGTTCAGGTTTTTTAAATGCAAAATTGAAAGAAATACGTCAAGTTGATATTGACCAAATTTTGACCGTATCACCCTTTATGCCAAGCGTGTCACCCTCGCTCCAAACGACATACAGCTCGACAGCCTCATCCGTGTTGAACACCCAGCTCAGAATTACTCAACCATCACTACATAACGGTCCTTTTCAGGGCCACCAAAAATTTGTTAAAGAGTATTATTTGGACATTAATCAAGGTCATCAGTTCCCGCAATCAAGGCTCAACCTGTCTATAGAAGGTGTGGAATGGTAGGCCTGAATAAATTGGTGCAATTAGTTTTTCCTCGGCTTGCATTCCGCACGATTCGTTTCTTTCGTTTAATCAATCACTCTTGTAGTGACGTCGAAAAGATTGTTTTAATCGGCGCTTACATATGAAATTTAATCTGGATTATAGAATTTTTTGTATGTTATCAAAATTTATGAATGGTTTGCCACTAAATGTTGAGATAATTTATTGATTGTTGAATTATCACACTCTATACCATGAAAAACCAGCCTGTTTGTGAGTTTTTGCCTGCTTCTAAGTAAGGAGTTATCATAAAAAACAAATCGCCAACTGGTATTTCCCGGCGACTTTACAAATAAATAAAATCAAACAAAATTATCATACAGAACTAGCTAGGATTTGTTTTACTTCATATTTCACAAAATTGCTTTCGAGTGCTATGATATCGTCTCCCACAAAGTTTACATTTTTCCCTCTACCAACACAACACTAGGGCTTGATAGATCTCCACAGGATCTATAGAATCCACGCAATTTCAAAAAACCAAAATGCACAGCATTACGAAAAGAGGTCAGGTTTCGACCAATAGCAAATAGATTTTAATTCTTAACAAGCCAAACGATTGGAAATTTATCTACCAATATGCTAAAATGAACACTTAGATAATTGTCAATAGGTCACTATTGAAAAATACCAAATGTCCAACTGTTGCAATGGTGATCAAAATTATCACCGAATGTCTGAAAACAGCGTATTCCCTAACACAGACTTAAAAATCGAATTCGATGTGCACAAATGATACTTTCCATCCCGCTCTATTCATATAATTCGGAAGGAAATCCTGTGAGGGGTGAATTGAATACCCTTTA